ATGTTCGAATACAGTTTGCAGCCACAACCCATTTTTCGAGCGCTTCTTAACCAAGAGCAGAGGTCAGCTTATGGCTTATGCTGGCTCTTGGGGTCTTTGATGTTTGGTTGAAGGCACACCGTCACCATGTGACATCACCCGCAAGCTAGCGCTATCATGCAAGCACAGAGTGCCTTGCATGTGCGAAAACGCGCGCGATGCCTGCGGTCAAACTCTCAAACCTACACCTGTGCAGCTCAAAAAATCAAGGCGCGCCTTACCCCCAAGCGGCTGGCGCGTGGGGGAGAGCCTAGGCGACGTTGGCAATGTGCGCATTCCAGGGTTGCCGGACTCCCTGTTTCTTTGCACAGAAGTGCCTGGCAGACTTCGTCCCGATACGCCTGAGACAAGCTTGGGATGCGTAGCGTGGATGTTTCCCATTGCGGACTTCTTTGCCGATTTGGGCAGCATGACAGACATGGGGCATGGCCAATTTTGTCACCTTCAAATTTGGCAGAGGTCTGTACAGCCTTTACTTTGTTTCGGAGTTCCAATCTTTCAAGATGTGGCAAGCGTCTCAACACAGCAGATTCAAGCTTCAAGTTTCAACGCGTTGAAATGTTTGAAACCGTCAACCTATCGGGGTCCTCATCTCATCCATGGTCGAAGCCAAGACTGGTCCCAATATTCCGCTTGTTGTTTTAATATCACCTTTTGGGCCCGTGTCAGATGAGTTTGCTCGTGGGATGATGTTCAAGGGGACCTTAACTGGGGGGAAATGGCAGTTTCATGGCCAAGAACGCATGCCAGATGCCTGGGCGCTCGGGGACAGCATCCTTTGCGCCGTGCTGGCGCTGGTGAAGGCGTGCCAGGGGACCGTACAATTAAACGAACACTGCGGGGAAGTTACAGAAATCAGCCCAGATGGTATCCCCGGCAATTCTCCGGAACCCTTGCTCCACACCCTGAACCCCCTGCGAAACCTTCGGACCTTTGCGCAACACTCGGAGCCACTCAAAACCGCCGGCACCGCCCGGAACCGATGCAGCAACTCTCGGAACCCGGAACCCTCCGGAACCTTCCCGGAGCTGCTCGGACCACGCCATAGCTTGTCTGGGCAGAGACCCTCTAGCTGAGCTGCTGGCGTGTCGCGCAGGCTCAGTCATGAAAACACGGGAAACGTCCAAATTTGAACAAGTCCTCCAGCCAGGCTTGGGCAGAACTAGTTAAACAGCCCATGGTCCCCCTAAACATGTCTAAACACGGGTTTGAATCGCCCAATTCTGGTGCCAAATCAAGATTGGTTGTTTGCCATCCTTGGACGCGTGTTGTCATGTTTGGATGTGCAAAAACGATTTCCTTTGGCCTTCTTGCTTGCATCTTTCGTTAACGTTCATTTGTGCAGACTTACTTCCCAAGAATTCCCGCCGACTCCCTGAAGTTGACAAGGCGATGTCTTGCGAGCTGAGTTCGCTGCAAGCAAGACAAGAAACAGGTGAAAATAGACTCTTTGGTGAACCTCAGGGTTTTGACCCGAGTTGATGCCTTCACGAGACGATGGAAGCGCATGGCGACTCGTGCAACAACTGGAGTGCCATATCATAGATCGGTTCCCCCAAAACGCGGGGGCGCCCCGGGGGTTTCTTTTGCCCGGATCCCGTTGCAACTCAGGAGCTGGATCGGCCTGGCCTGGAGCTGGTGCGCCGCCGGAAGCCCAAAGATTGTTAGAATTTGATCGGGCTCGACGCCAACGCCGAAGAAGGCGTTCCTCTTTGCAAGGCTGGGGTCCTTTCTGCTCGGTGGTTGGAAGGGAGCCAAGGAGCTGGGAGTAAGGCTAAGGAGCTACCTGGAGTCCTGGAAGGGTATGGTAGTCTGGCAGCCTTTCTCCAGAAGGGACACGGGACCCTAGATGACTTGCAATGTCCCCGCAAGCTGGTCGGAACGTGCGTTATGATTGCTGCTGACGTGGGAAATTGGGCGAGTCTCCCCGACACACACACACACATATATATATATATATATACATACATACATATACATATACATACATGTATGCATATATAGATACATGCATGCATGCATGCATGCATGCATACATACATACAGACGTACGTGCATGCATACATACATATATATATATGTATATATATATACACACTACTTAGTTGCTGTTTGCATTTTGCATCAGCCAGGTTCGTTTTCATGACATCTCCTGGATGAAGGGTTCTGGAATAGAAGAATTTCATATCTGGACCACTGTGCCTTTGCCCCTGGGTCGATGAGCAATGGAAGATGTTTCAATCGAGAAGCTCTGAGCCGACGAGTTTTATGTGACCCAGAGAAGACTCAGAAAGCGCAGGGCCTTGCAAATTGCAAAGCAATCGAGAAGAGCATGCTTTCCGTTGCTGGCCAACTGGTTTGCAGAGTTGCGATCTTGACAGGACTAGCTTGAATACACTTTGCCACCATTTTGAGATCCTGCTGCAATGTACGAGCGTGCAACTCCTTCGTTTACCTAGCTTGCGGCAAATGATGGAGCCAAACAGATGCGCGCGCAGAGCACAGAAACCCACTGAAGCAATCCTTTAAAGACCATTTTTCCGAGGTTCCAACTCAACCCCAAACTCCACACCAATCACCAGCAACCCCACCCCGCATCTTTTTTCGGCAGCGTGACTGCACGGATCGGTCTCCGAGCGAGGCGCGGTTGAGCAGCGCATGGACTCTTGAGGCGGGGCCAGGTGGGGGCGGGGGCGGCAGACCTTTGGCCTTTCAACAGAGTCCCCCATTTTCCATTTTCTGCTTGGCGTGGTTTAAAAGTGTCACCTCTTGGTTGCCTCGAAGCTCTTGTCCCTCTCAAAAACTGCATTGGCCGGCCGGAGGGGTTTACGACAAACGAAAGTCGGCAGCTTTGGGTTTTCTCGCTGCGGAGTGGGCTCTGTTTGAGATGCATCCCAGCATGAAGCTTTGGAACCTTGCCCACCGAAACGCCAGACAGGCCAGTCAGGATATACAACGCGAGCACCTTCCGGGTCCGAGAATCCGAAAGTCCGAGGGTCCGAGGGTCCAAGCCGGGAGAAAAAGGGTCGAGAGGGACAGCGACGGATTCAGTGGTACCGACAAAAAGTGGCGGGTGTTTTGCATCTCATTTCTGCTTGAAGAGCGCAACGCGGCGCACGCTACACCACTTCTCTTGCAGATGCTTTGCGAGGTCAAGCAAACAACATGTCAACTCACTTCGGCGGGGTGTGCACAAGCTGCGTACACGCAGCGGCCTGGGGCGACATGTGCCGCCCTTGGACTGTCGCAAAGCAGGTTTTGTTGTGAGGATTAAAGTTGTGTTTCGTGTGTCGGTGTAAGGGTAACAGTGTTTCAGTCTGGCCGCCCGGCCTGAGTTCCCCATCTGCAGAGGCTCTTTTCATGTTCACATCGGGGGTGGACCTTCATGTTATGCACGTTCTCATTTGAGGTTCACAAGGAGGATCCTTTTTTGGCATTCTTTTGAGAGCACCGGCGGCACCGGGATCCCTTTTTTGAACCAGTTCAGGCAGCGGCCAAGCGAGGAGCTGCCACCGCAGGCCCCGACTTGCGATCTTGCTTGTTGAGTCCGCTCGCTTTCGGTGCTCGTGGCCTTGACACCCAACTTGAGAAGTTGTTCATCCGGTGCACCTAATCACCGCAGAGGCTCAAGGACGCCAGACGCAGAAACAAAACCGTCGCGCTTATTTGGATCAGAGCTATGACAGAGGCTGAAGCAGTCATCCGCAACGAGTCCGGCTACATCACCCACACAGCCAAGAAGGACTTCGGTCCTTTGGAGTTCACGGGCAAGATTGGGGGCGGGCTGAGGCTCGACTTGCGCAGGCGGGCGCCCCTGTACATCAGCGACTGGACGGACGCCTTTAAGGCTGAAAATTTCCAGAAATCCGTGTCCTCCATTCTTTACCTGTTCATAGCGGCGCTGGCCCCGGCCATCACGTTCGGGAGCCGGTTTTTGGACGGCACAAAGGGCCAGTTTGGAGTTCTGGAGATGATCATGTCGTCCGCCATCAGCGGCTGTTTGTTTTCTACCTTTGCAGGGCAGCCTCTATCCATCCTAGGTGCTACTGGCCCGTTCTTGGCGTACACACTGGTGGTCTATGAAATGGCAGTGGCGGTGGATGTGGAATTCATGCCGTTCTACTTCTGGGTTTGCATGTGGTGTTCGCTCTTCACAATTCTTGTGGCTGTCTTTGACTTGTGTGCCCTGATGAAGCACGTGACCATGTTCAGCGAGGACATCTTTGCTGGCCTGATCAGCCTGATCTTCATCATTGACGGCGTGTCGCCCATGATCCGAAACTTCACTGACAAAGAGATGACCTTGACCAACGCCATGTTTGAGGCCTTGCTGTTTGGCTACACATTCGGACTTGCCACCTACCTGTCCCATTTCCGGCGCACACCATGGTTGCTCCGGCCCATCCGCACCCTGATGGCCAACTTCGCTGTGACAATCGCGCTGGTCACTGCGTCCGCGCTCGCCGCCCTCTACTCCAGCGACACGTCGCTGCGGATGCTGACCGTGGACGCCGAGTTCGCCCCTGCCTTGAGCCTGTCAGACGGCAGCAAGAGGCCTTGGATCGTGAACCCTGCAGGCATTGATCGGCAATTTCCTGCCTGGGGCATTGCCTATGCCATCATCCCCTCCATTGGCTTTGCGGTGCTGGGCTACCTGGACCAGAACTTGACGAGCATCATTGTGAACCGGCCATCGAACGGGCTGAAGAAGGCGCCTGGCTACCACCGCATGCACGTAGACCACCTCCTGGGCTTCATGCCCTCGGTGCATGCGGGCCAGCACTGCTGGTACGAAGAGTCTGCGTGGTGTGTTGGGGCGAGCATTGGCTTTTTCTTGTTTTTGCTCATGCTCGCCTACTGCAAGAACGTTTTCTACTCGGAGGTGATTTGCTACCTGTTCCTCTTTGCGGGTTGCCTCGGGGTCTTTCTTAAATTCGTGTTCTACACTTTGGGCCTTTTGCATGTGGGTGCCTACTACCTGTTCTCTGTGGGTTACTTCGGCAAGGCTCTTTTTGAGGATGATGCGCGGCCTGCGCATGAGCTGCCTGACGCTGTGGGAGCGAGGGCGGACAAACAAAGATCACGTCGGCATCCTGCCAGACGGCCTTTGCATTCCTACTGCTTGGCTCTCTGGATGTCGGCTTTTGCATGGTCTGCTCACAGGGTTGGTGATTGCAGACGGAGGTGGAATCGAAGGGTCCGGTGGCGCTCCAGGCACCGTTTCCGTGCTTTTGTGCCCCAGCTTCTCTCTTCACAAGTGGTGGCACTATTTCCTCGGGATGGTCAACGGGATCCTGGCGATGACTGTCGTGATGCGCTTCTTCATGGGGCAAGGCGTGGGTTTGCTATGCCCAAAGAAGACCATCGTAATGCCGTGGATGAACTTCGTGGTGGTGGTGGAGGCCTGGGCGCTAAGGTTTCCAGACGTCAACGTGCAGAGAAGTTGTACGATGGCTTGGCCAACCTCCTTGCGCAGCTGGGTGGTGAGGAGGATGATGGAGAGGAAGAAGTTGAGAATGGAGGTGTGGAGGACCTTTTCTGGGATCTGCAGCAGCTGATCTGGGAAAGGCCTCGGAATCCGGTGAGTGCTCTTCGCAACCTGGTGCACAAGTATGCCAACAAAGCAGGCGAACAACAACCGTGGCACTCTGAATGGGACATGCCGCCGGTCACGCAGTACAGCTATGGCCATGCTGGGGTGCAGTCAGACACTTCGTGGCGGGCGCCTGCCTCAGGATGGAGCGCAGCAATGGATGCTGAGCACAAGGTCGAGGACGAGTGGAAGATGGTATCCCGGGGGCGCCGAAAGCCTCAACCCCCCGCTGCTGCCCGCAAGGTGTTCCTCGCTGATGCTAACAAGAAGTCAGATAAGGGGAGAGCAAAGCCGAACGCGGCGACTGCTGGCCCGCTCCAACCAAGCGATTGGACCCCCAGACCTGAGGATTGGGGTCCGAGCGTCAAACTGGTGAAGCATGCCAGGGATGCGCTGGCCAACGCGTCTGCTGAACTACTGGCATACCCGCAGAGTGGAGAAGAACTGGAAAAGTTCCGCACCTTTGTGCAGTCTTCGGACCCCGACTTGGCCTTCACTGTGGTCCTGCTCAAGGGTGCGATGGAGGAGGAGAGGCTCAACTTCAGCGAGCTCACATGGCAGGAGATGAGGGTGCCGGGGATCCACCGCAACCAGCTTCGGGTGGTCAGTGCTTGGGTGGGCCAGACAGGCGTTTCCGCCCCTGAACTCCGGCAGCTAGCAAAAGTAGTCAAACCCCCCGAGCGTGCAAAGGCTGAGACAGTTGTCCTTCGTGCTCACGCTGACTGGGTGTACTTTGACAAAGAGAGTGCATGGGAGCAGGCAACCAGCAACCCTGGCAAGTCCTTCCGTCAATGGGCTACGGCGGCCTTTGGACGTGTTCATGACACCTGGAGTTGGGAGTTGACGCCTGGACCTGGTGGAAAACATGCCTGCATTCAGGGACTCGTGCGCCTCACAGTCTCGCAAGCTGCTGCGGCCTTGGGCGTCAGCGGGACCAAGCATGGAGGCAACCGATGGTTCGTGCAACACCTCAACAAGCAGCAGGTGATCGAGGGTGTGCCCCAGCTCGTCACCGATTGGGTCGACTGGCAGGATGATGAGACCTGGCAGACCTATGCGGCGAGGTGCTGGAGCTCTACGAAGGGGTCGTCGTTGGGTTTGGCTCGGGGTTTCCGTAGCTTAGGTGTTCGGCGACCCGCCACAGATGAGGACACCAACAAGCCCAGAACTGTGAGGAGACTATGGAGAGCAACCGGAGTTCCGAGGGACTGGTGCGTCGAGGAGGTTGAGGCCTTCCTGGCCGACAGCGGCTGTGTTGAGGTTGAGGTCAGCGAAAAGGTTCCTTGGAAAGGTGGCGCAGCCTGGACCTTTTACACCGTGATGAACATGGAGGAGGACTTCAGGAGCGTTGAGCTGGAGGGTGCTGAGGCGCAGATCGAGATCACCAGAGTTGGTCGCACGCGATCCTACGCTGAGGGCAAGGCGCTCCCACTTGAATGGCGACAGATCTTTGCTCAGCCCAAGGAGAAGGGACCCAAGGGACCCAAAGGCAAAGGCAAAGCCACTCCCACTTCGGCTACACCTGCGCATGGACCTGATCCACCTGCAGACCAGAACATTGAGGTGGACGACGGGAACAACGACGAGCGTGGCTTGGATGGGAAAACTAAGCCAAAAACTCCAGAGGCGCCATCCAAGCGATGCAAGACCACTTCGCATGGTATCCCATTGGGAATGGAGCTCAAAGACAACCCGGGAGCCGGGAACTGTCTCTTTGCCGCTGTTGCCGATGCGCTTGAAGCTCAAGGTCGCTCAAAGCGCTCCCCTGCTGAGATTCGCAACCTTGCAGTGACCCACCTTCGCACCCATGCTCGGTCCTATGAAGGCTTCTGGAAGGGAGACGCCCCGAGCGCCGAGGGCGCTGACATGAAGGTGAAAGGATTTGCAGAGTACCTCCGGTTGCTCGCTCGCGATGGTGCATGGGGTGGTTCGATAGAAGTCGCTGCCCTTGCTGCGACCCTGGCGCAGCCGATCTTCGTGTTTCGGCCGGAGGAGGCCGACGGCGTGAGGGTGTTCAATCCCTCAGCCAAGGGCAAGCCGCTTGCTCTCTGGTTCATGAACCGCCACTACCAGGCGCTGATCGGAGCAGTTGGCCCCGCGGACCGGGCCAAGGCTACGGCCGCTCCAATAGGCAATGCCGCTGATCGCGGCGGAGTCCCGGCCCCGAGCACTCTGGGAGGACACACGAGCGTGTTGGGGGGCCGGACGCACAATGGCGCGAAGCTTAGCGCCATCGGCGGCTGCACAAAGTCTGGCACCGAGCGGAAAAGCAGATCCCACTGGTACGATCCTTCACCAGCCGAGGTGCGCACCCTGTCCTCAAGCTCGGCTATGCGATCTCCGGCCCTTTCTTTGCCAGGGAGCGTTGCGGATCCGGATGCGGTTGAGGTCCCGAGCAAGTCCAAGTACGCCTTCCATGGCACTTTCAAGTATGAGTGTGACCTCTGCCCTTTCGCTGAGCTCTATGAGACCCGCGGACAAGCCAGTCGCGGGCGTTTGAGCCACATGCGGCGCGCTCATCCTGAAGTTCGCAAGCAAGTGGCCCGAAAGCACCAGCGCCCCCCTTTGGTTTTGGCTGGAAGCGGCCAGCTTCTCGCATGGGTTTGCCCATACTGCAAGATGGGTTGGCCCCAGGATGAGGTTGCTGATAAGCCGAGCAAGCTTCTCACGAAGTGGCGAGCTGAGCATCATGCCGAAGTTCACCCCCGTGTTTCGCATGGAGCTTGGCAGAAGGCTCTGAGGAAGGAAGGGATGGGCCCGAAATTTAGGGCGCAGCGACGAGTTTTCAACCTCAACAAATATATGGCAGTGCCCTTTCGCATGCAGGATATGCAGAACGCTGGTTTTCAGGCCTTCACCTGGCCACGTGTGGTTGTGCGAGAAAAGACTAAGCGCGCCAAGCCAGAAGGTAAGGGTGCGGCGTTGCAACTTCTTCGGTCCTGGGTGTGCAAAACTTGCCGTGCCGTTTTCCGCGTCCTGAGAGAGGCCAAGCTGCACAGGTGTGGTGCGCACCACTATGGTCAGGCCGCGGCTTACAAGCTTCGGCTGAAGCGGCTTGAGGAGGCAAGAAAGTGGGCGGAGGATCACTTTGAGGCGCACGGTGTGCCGCTGGAGACACTTCGGTCCACTTTCAGCGAGACAAAGGTCGTCTTGCTTGGCGCCCCAAAATCCAATCGCCATGATTAGGTGCGCTACTTTCAACGTCCCGGCGATCGCGGGCAAGCTGCCTGTTGTCTTTGACATCTTTTCTTCCTACAACATCCAGGTTGCCGCCTTGCAGGAGGTGGATATCAACGAAGCCACCCGTGCTCGTTTCCGCACTTCGTGTTTGCAGAAAGGCTTCTTTGTGGTGTTTGGAGGCGTTGGGGAAGGTGGGGTCACCAAGACCGCCTTGTTGTCTACCTTACCAATTTCACCTGTGTTTCTGGAGACTTCCTGGCCGGACCGTGTGGCTGCTGGCGTGGTGGAGGTCCAGGAGTGCAGTGGCCCGGACTGGGTGTACCAAAAGATCTTTTTAGCTTCAGTTTATTGCCATGCTTCCGATGGCACAGCAAGATCAAGACTTTGTACAGAGGTGCTTGACTTTGTGACGGGTTCTGGTTTCCTGTGGTTGACCCTGGGTGACTGGAATCAGGAGGCGGATGACCAATGTTTCTCCCCTTACATTTCCGCTGGAAGAGCTCATTGTGTGGATGATGCCTTTGCTTTGCTCCCTGAATCCACCCGAGCCGATGGCCACAAGCGCATCGATTTTGGCCTTTCACACCGTTCTCTTGTTCCAGTACAGCGTGTCCAATCGCAGGACATTGATTTTGGGATTACGGATCATGATCTCGTTGCCTACGACTTCGAGTTCAAGACAATTTCGCACGGCCGGTTTGGGCCGAAGCGCCGTCTGATCTCTGCTGCAGATGGCGTTGAGAAGTTTGACTGCAGTGAAACTTTGTGTCAATTGGTTAAAATTGCATTGTCGCAAGAAGATGTGGACAATGCGTGGTCGCTCCTCTCTGATTTTGCGGAGGACGCCCTCTGTGATGAGAAGCATTTTGGCTTCACGCCGCGCTCCGCTTCCTGGAAGCCCCGTTTTTCGTCACGGCACTCCAAGGCGTCTGCTGGACCAGAGCCGGTGCGGTTGGTTCGTCTTAGGCGTCTTCACAGACGCCTCCTTCAGCTTCGTAGACAACCCTGGGATAGCAATCTTCGTGCAAAGGCTGCCCGTGATTTTCGGTGCTTTCAGGATGAGCTGCAAGATTTGTACAGATGTCATGGACCAGTTTCTGAGGCTGAGCCAGCTCCGGCTGGGGGGATGCCCCGAAGCAGGTCGAGGAGGCCCCTGGCAGAGCTGAGGCCGTGCCAGCTCCGGCTGGGGTTTTGGCCCCAAACAGAGCTGAGGCCGAGCCAGCTCCGGCTGGGCCTGGGGCCCGAAGCAGAGCTGAGGCCGTGCCAGCTCCGGCGGGGGTTGAAACCCCTAACAGAGCTGAGGCCGAGCCAGCTCCGGCTGGGCGACATGCCCGAAGCAGAGCTGAGGCCGCGCCTGCGTCGGGATTGGTATCCCGAAGCAAGGCAAAGGCTGCGCCAGCTCCGGCTGGGGCGTGTGCCCCAAGCGGAGCTGAGGCCGAGCCAGCTCCGGCTGGGCCTGGGGCCCGAAGCAGAGCTGAGGCCGTGCCAGCTCCGGCGGGGGTTGAAACCCCTAACAGAGCTGAGGCCGAGCCAGCTCCGGCTGGGCGACATGCCCGAAGCAGAGCTGAGGCCGCGCCTGCGTCGGGATTGGCATCCCGAAGCAAGGCAAAGGCTGCGCCAGTTCTGGCTGGGGCGCTTGCCCCAAGCGGAGCTGAGGCCGTTCCAGTTCCGGCTGGGGCTGTGCCCCGAAGCAGAGCTGAGGCCGAGCCTGCTCCGGCTGGGCTGGGGGCCCAATGCAGAGCAGAGGCTGTGCCAGCTCCGGCTGGGGTTGAAACCCCCAACAGAGCTGAGGCCGAGCCAACTCCGGCTGGGCGACATGCCCGAAGCAGACCTGAGGCCGCGCCTACGTCGGGTTCGGCTTCCCGAAGTAGGACAAAGGCTGCGCCGTTTCCGGCTGCAAGTGGAGCTGAGGCCGTTCCAGTTCCGGCTGGGGCTGTGCCCCGAAGCAGAGCAGAGGCCGAGCCTGCTCCGGCTGGGCTGGGAGCCCAAAGCAGAGCAGAGGCTGTGCTAGCTCCAGCTGGGATGGAGCCCCCAAACAGAGCTGAGGTCGAGCCAGCTCCGGCTGGGCTGAATGCGCGCAGCAGAGCTGAGGAAGACTGCCTGGAAGACCTCGTTGATGTGGTGGCAGCGGCAGTCACTCAATGTGAGCGGCAACTTTTTTCTCAGCGCCTAAAGGCTTGGAAGGCCCGGATGGCTGCAGATGAAGGCCAGCAGCGTGCATGGGTCAAGCGGTTTGCCTTGACCCGTGCTCAGGAGAGTCGTGCGGCGCGCCCTGCGCCATCTTCTAAGGGTGTTAGCGCTTCAGCCGTCCACCCTTCCATAGCAGTTGATGAGCAGCAGCGAGAGTGGACAGCGGTTTGGGGCCAGGAATCTGGACGTGGCACAGGCGAGGACTTCCAAAGTTTTCTTCGCAACGTCCCAAACAACGTTAATGAGGCTGTTGCCTTCTCAGCAAAGGGCTCTGACCTGCTGCAAGCCATGCAGGCTATGACGCGCAAGGCCCCTGGCCCTGATGACTGGCGCGCCAAAGATCTTTTGAGAATGGGACCGATTTGGTGGTCATGCCTTGAAGATTTGTGGGCCCATGTGATTTCTTCCGGATGCATTCCCCGCCGATGGGTTGAGGCCAAGATAGTGCTCATTCCCAAAGACGCAGGGGGCTGGCGGCCACTTGCTTTGACATCGGTATTGTGGCGCGCTGGCTCGCGAGCGCTTTTGCAGACCCTGAAGCCGTGGTTGAGCAGTTGGGCGGGCGATCACCTGTTTGGCGGTTTGGCTGGTAGAGGCGTCGAAGATTGCCTCATCCGCATCAACCATGCGGTCGCGCAGCGAGCTAAGCATGGCGTGTTTGTGCGCCAGGATATCCATCGTTTTTTTGATGCGATCCAGGTGCAGCAGGCAATAGCGGTCCTCTCGCACTTGAAGGCCCCTCCTGCGCTCGTTCGCCTTATTGACCAGTTTTATTTGCGTGGATCCCGGGTCTTTACTTCGGGCGCCTATCATGGCTCACAATGGTGCAAAGCAGGGCGGGGCATTTTGCAAGGATGCCCTCTTTCGCCTATGATCGCGGCAGCGGTGATGTTGCCGTGGACTTGCGCAGTCCAGCAGCCCGGCCTCGGCTGTGCCGTTTTCGTTGACGATCGGGTTTTGTGGGCCCAGAATGTTTCCCAAGCCCCCCTTTTGCAGCTGGCAATGCGGAAATCGGAGGAATTTGACAGTGTGTTTGGGCTTAGGTGCCGACCCGAGAAGTGCGGGATTGCAGCTTTGAGCTCGGATGTTGCCCAAAATTTTGGGCTAAGCAACCTCCCTTACGCCTTCGACCACAAACTCACCTTTCTTGGGTTACAGTTTGACCTTCATGAACCGATGGCCACACAGCTGGTGAAGTTTGACATGCAGCTCGTGCTTTTCCGCATAACTGCCATTGCCCGCGTGGCTGCTTCATGGAAGGCCCGCTTACGCTTGCTGCGATGCCTCGTGAACCCAACCTTCACTTGGGCTGCTGGCTTGGCAGCATTGACACCGGATGTTTTGAAGAGTATACGCAGTGCAGTTGTGAGTTCCTTTGGCGCCACTTTGCCGCCAGACGTGCCTTGGGGCATCCTTTTTGAGCTCCTTGGGTGGGAAGTCGAGCCTCTCTTCGCCTCAGCTGCAGCCCATTTCCGAGCTGCAGTTAGGCACCGCAGCTCGTTGAAACAGTGCTGGGAAGATGCACCTCTTGACTTTGTCTTTGGAAAGTGGTTTCAGCAACTCCCTTGCGCTGCGGCCGCAGCCAATGACCTTGGATGGTGGGCATCGCCTGATGGAGCTCTCCTTCATAGGCGGGATCAGCATGGGCAGCAGCGCACCTTCGAGCTTGGGGTTGACAACTTTGCTTGTGTTCTTCGGTGGCTTAAAGAAAGGAGCCGGCGCGACTCTTTGAAGGCGTCGGCCAGGGTGTTTCGTGGCTTTCGACGCCAGGCAAATGCAGATCAGCCACTGGCTCAAGGTTTGACACTGCCTCCTCCTGCTCCCGGAGTTCCTTGTTACCAAGGCCACAGACAGTGTTTCAAGCAGGCGACGGACAAAAGGGATTTGTTCCTTGCGTGCTTGGCTACGGGATGCAGCTGGTGGCACTTCCATCCCGGTTTTCGGAGGCAACCCCATGGTGACGCAGCCCGTCAGTGCGCATGTGGCAAGCACACGCCTTCTCGGCCCCACTTGGTGTGGACATGTCCGGCGACTGCTTCAGCAAGAGAAGGAGTTCCTCTCCCCAGTAACCGAGCAGAGGAGCGTCTCTTTACCAAGGTCCTCCCTGAACAACCTGCTGCGCCAAGGGACCCCCGTCCTCTGGCCTTTGAGCAGCTTGTCCATGCCTTTCGCACAAGACTTGAGGAACAGCCTTCCCACTTCTTCGTTGCCACAGATGGTTCCGAGATTGATGAGGTCGCTGCTTTTGCCATTGCGACCCCGGGATGCCCAACTTTTGTTTCAGCTGTCACTGGTGAAGATCAGACCGCTTACCGGGCTGAGGTTGAAGCTGGCGTCCTCGCCCTTCAGGCTGCTGCTGACGCTGCTCGACTATGTGCAGGAGCCGCTTCACGTGTCTCTTTTGTGTTTGTCCTCGACTGCCAAGCTGCCATCAAAACTTTGAAAGGTGGTGGTTCTTGCAAGCTACTGGCGCGACGCGCCTTTGATGCTTTCCAACGGCTTTGTGCTCTGACCCTGTCGGTCGAGCTCTTTTGGGTCCCATCGCACGGCAAGGTTAGCGGTGAATGGGCGCCGCACCCGGTCGCCTCGGAGGCCATGCTTCGTGGACTCAATGAGGACGCCGATGAGGCGGCGCGCTGGAAGGCGCGATTGCTACTCCGTGGGTCTGCTCGTCAGGAGTGGGCGCGAGCTAAGCTTGCTGCCACGCAATGGGAGGTCAAGGCCGTCAACGCGGTTGCCGGAGCCGCTTCTATCGCTCGGGGGTGGTGGGCGTCTGACGCCTGAGCTGGATGGCGCGTGGAGCCGCTAGGGAGCCTTTTGGCTGCACCCTGCGTCTCCTCCAACGTGTCAAGCCTGGCTACCACCTGGACCTGTTTGTGCGCGGCGCCCTGACGCTGCCGGCCTGCGCCGTGCTGGGCCTGCCCCTGTCTGTGGCCTCAACTGTGCCCAGCATCACCCACGTGATCTCGCTGACCACTTACGAGGTGAAGCAGCTGCCACAGGGCGAGACCAAGGTGCCTTCCAAGGTCGTCGAGCAGCGCGCCACGAACTTCCTGATCCACGTGCTCATTGGCTGCGCGCTCTTCCTGGCTCCGGTGCTCAAGTTTCTGCCGCGGTCCGTGCTGCAGGGGGTGTTCTTCTACATGGGCATCGCGTCCTTGACCGGCAACAACCTCTTCGACCGCCTCTTCCTTTGGATGATTTGGGACTCTTCCAAGTACCCGCAGTACAACTACATCCAGAAGCTGCCCATCAAGCGTGTCCACTTGTACACCTTTGTGCAGGTGATTTGCTTGGCCATCCTGTACGGCCTCAAGGCCATCAAGGAGACCTCTGTGGTGTTCCCCTTCTTCATGGCGTCCTTGGCTATTATTCGCAAGGCGGGGCATCCAAGGATTTTGCAGAGTAGAACCCCTTCAGCCCAGTACTACGCAACTGCGTAAAGTTTTGGCCAGGCCATGGTATACATGTTCACTGCGGAAGAGCTGCAGCTCTTGGACAGCGCTGCTGAGGAGGAGGAGGACGAGGCGTGTCCAATCTGTTTGGCAGGGGTTCAAGATGTCAATTTTGGGGATGGCTGTCCGGAGATGGGGTCCAGATCGGAGAGTAAGAAGTGGGGGCACAAATGACAGCGGAAGGGCATCTATCGCGGCAGTCTAAGCATGGACGTAAATTTCCTTGCTTTATGAGGAGACGGCCCCATAAGAAGGGAACTTGTTTTGAAGGGCGACAGAAAGGTAGGACAGGATTTTTTAGACTTTAGCCTCATGCGAAGTAGGTCCACAGGCAACACTGGGTCGCATTTGGGGTTTCGGATGTCGCTTGCCGGGCCATGGTTTGCGAGGTTCTCGCGGCGCCAGACCTGCTCAACCTGGATGCGAAGGTCCAGGACACCCAGGACACGTGCGTTCAATGACGCGCAGGGGTGCAGGGGCGCGTGCATGGGTATCGGTGCCAACTTGGAAGTGTGGTCTTGCAGTAAGGGATTACCACGAGTAACCAAACGTATGTACATTTGCAGTGCCAAACATAGTGGTTCACTTGAGCTTCGAGTCAGCATTGCAGTGGCAGGATGCTGACAAGAAAGAGGAAACCTCGATCTGAGCTTCCTAGAGGGAAGGGCCGTGTCCAAGGTCGATGTCGGTGCTGCCCCTGAATACATTCATTGCATTTTTGGCCCTTCGGGGGCTTTGTTAGAGTTTTTTGGCATGAGCCGGACCTGTAACGCCCGTGTTGGTTTGTTTGAGCGTGGTCTGGCATGCTGTTTGAGAGCAGGTTGCGGCTTATGCTTAAACTATTTCTCGAGCGCTACTCAACCCAGGGCAGATGTCAGCATATCGCTCACGCTGGCTTTGACGCTCTTGGGGTCTTTGATGCCTGATCGAAGACAAGTCTTAAGTGCAGTCACCATGTGACACATCACACCTGCAAGCTATCGCTATGCATCGCACAAAGTGCCTTGCATGCGCGGAAAACGCGCGATGCCGGCGGGTAAACCCTATAGCACCCATATTTGTACAGTGAACAAAAGAGCTGGCGGTGCGAGCAGGCGCAAGTTGGCAGCTAGCCTGGCGCAACGGAACGATGCTCAGACAAGTGAACAGCATGTTCATTACAGAAGAAGTAAGCTTGACTCAGGTATGTGTGCTTTTTCAACCATGACTGAGGGGTCTTCTTTGGACGGTTGCACTTTTTGTTGAATGGTTTGAAGTAGCTCAGCCGGGCTTGGTCGGAAGCTCGAGGAGGTTGGGCCTTGCATTCTGTAGATGCATGCCTTGGATTGGTCGATTTGAGCATCTCGTTTTCACGGACCACTGACCACTGTTTTATTTTGTAGCAGGGCGGTCGTGACAAGCAAACGCCATCTTTGGCGAGTCTCCGAAGGATTTCCTAGGCTCGCAGCAACGTAGGGGCTCAAGGACAAGCTGAATCAGAATCATGACAGAGGCGGAGGCAGTGATTCGAAATGAGTCGGGCTACATCACGCACACAGCCAAGAAGGACTTCGGACCGTTGGAGTTTACGGGCAAGATCGCGGGTGGGCTGAGGCTCGACATCCGCAGGCGGGCGCCCCTCTACCTCAGCGACTGGACGGACGCCTTTAAGTCCCAGAACATCCAGAAAACGGTGTCCTCCGTTCTCTACCTGTTCATAGCAGCGCTGGCCCCGGCCATCACGCCGCCAGGCTTAACATGATTTTCAAGGCACTCCGAGTAGCAGTGGCTAGCAATGCAGCGGCTTTGAGATGCTGATCCAGAGGAAGCGAGTGATTGAGAGGGCACGTATACCTTTTTACCCTTTTTGGTAGTAGCCTTTGGCCTTCCAGCGCGCCTTCTTTGATTTGCACGGGTCGATGAGCTTTGAGGGCTCAACATGCTAAGCTTTTGGACCTTGTGGCTTGGTGTGATTGCTTTAAAAATTTAAGCGTCCCAAAATCCAACAGTCATGCAAGCCCCAACGGCGATTGCTATTCCCAAGCCCATCAGCCACCGGAAACCATTGGCGCGTCCCCCGTTTTTTACTAACAATTTGTTCATTTTCTTGTTGCACACCTCTAATTTTGGCTGCAGAAGGATAAGAAGGACCAGATAAGGATAGTGTCACTGGCTCACAATGTGGCAGTCTACGCCCTTCAGCATCTCTCGAACGTATTTTTGACCGTCTTGGCGTTCAGAACATTCACCACCAAGGTTCGGGAGCCGGTTTTTGGAGGCAAACCAGGGTCCAGTTTGGAGTTCTGGAGATGGCGTCATGGTCATCCCCATCAGTGGCATCTGTTTTCCTACCTCGCAGGGCAGCCCTTGTCCCATCCTGGGTGGCCACTGCCCCTTCTGCCGTACACGCTGGTGGTTTTTGAGATGGCTGAAGCGGCGGACCTGGAGTTCATGCCTTTCTACTTCTGGGTTTGCATGTGGTGTTCGCTCTTCACAATTCTCGTGGCTGTGTTTGACCTGTGCGCCCTGATGAAGCACGTGACCATGTTTAGCGAGGACATCTTCGCTGGCCTGATCAGTCACATGCTCAGGGGCCGAGTGCGAGCATTGCGCGTGTGTTGTTGATCGACCGATCAAGCCGGCTGACCAGGCAACACATACACGCACAGACGTTTCATAGGATAGTTTGCGTGAAAACATACAACCCGAGAACCTTTGCGGAACATTAGATCTTGCACATATTGAATACAGTTTGAACCAGTGTGAATCATGCTGAACTAGGAACAAAACCATTGATCCTTTTGCAAGACCCCCTTGCCGCTGAGCTTGACTTCATCATCGACGGCGGACCCCCTTAATCCGGAACTTTCTCTGACGTCAATGACCTGACAATGCCATTTAGGTTCGAAGCTTTGCTGATTCCTCTACACCGTTTCGAGCTTGCCCAGCTACCACTCCCATTTCCGCGCAACCCGAGGTTCTCCGACCCATCCGCAACCTATGCCCAACTTCCTGTGACCATCGCTCTGCTCTCCGCCGCTGCGCTGGCCGCCCTCTACTCCAGCGACACGTCGCTGCGGATGCTGACCGTGGACGCGGAGTTTGCCCCAGCCTTGAGCCTGTCAGACGGCAGCAAGCGGCCTTGGATCGTGAACCCTGCAGGCATCGATCGGCCCTTCCCTGCCTGGGCCATTGCCTATGCCATCATCCCCTCCATCGGCTTTGCGGTGCTGGGCTACTTGGACCAGAACTTGACAAGCGTCATTGTGAACCGGCCATCGAACGGGCTGAAGAAGGCTCCCGGCTACCAACCCCCCTTGACATGACCTTTCGTAAGCGCCCTGACGCTGCCAGCCTCGCCGTGCTGGGACCTCACCTGTCGTGTCTCAACTGTGCCATGCATCAACCACGTTGGATCTCGCTGAACACATTACGAGGTGAAGCAGCTGCCACAGGGTCAACCAATTGCCTATCCAAGGTCGTCGAGCAGCGCGCCACGACGAACTTCCTGATCACTGCTCATCTTGGCTCTCGCCTCTTACCTGGCTCCGTCTCAAGTACTCTTCCGCGGTCCGGCTTAAAAAAAATCGGGGTGTTTCTTCAACATGCCTTCGGGTAGGGCGAGGCGTGGATTCCATCCTATATTTTGCGAGCAACCACTTTGTTCTTTGATGACTTGGGACTCTTCCAAGTACCCGCATACAACTAACATCCAGAACTGCCCATCAAGCCGGTCCACTTGTACACCTTTGTGCAGGTGGATTGCTGGGCCAGCCTGTTCCCTCAAGGCCATCAAGGAGACCTCTGTGGTGTTCCCCTTCTTCATGGCGTCCTTGGCTATTATTCGCAAGGCGGGGCATCCGAGGATTTTGCAGAGTAGAACCCCTTCAGCCCAGTAATGTTGACCCCGTAATAGTATGTAACCCCCCCCCCCTCGAAGGTCGGGAAGGTTTTGGGGAGCAAGATTTTGGAAGGTATTTTGCCACCCCCCCTAAATAATCTGGAGTTGAGTTTCCATTTGATTTAGTATTGCTGGAGCTTCCTTTTGAGATCTGGAATTGAGTTTCCATTTGATTTAGTATTGCTGGAGCGTCCTTTTGAGATCTGGAATTGAGTTTCCATTTGATTTAGTATTGCTGGAGCTTCCTTTTGAGATCTGGAATTGAGTTTCCATTTGATTTAGTATTGCTGGAGCTTCGTTTTGAGATCTGGAATTGAGTTTTCATTTGAATTAGTATTGCTGGAGCGTCCTTTTGAGATCTGGAATTGAGTTTCCATTTGTTTCCATTTGATTTAGTATTGCTGGAGCTTCCATTTGAGATCTGGAATTGAGTTTCCAGTTGATTTAGTATTGCTGGAGCGTGGTTTTGAGATCTGGAATTGAGTTTCCATTTGATTTAGTATTGCTGGAGCGTGGTTTTGAGATCTGGAATTGAGTTTTATTGAGAAGGTCTGGTTGTCTTTTTTGGGGGGTGGGGCCGATGGACCGCGCTAATTAGGGGGGGGAGGAAATAATTTGGGGGCGTAAGGGGCCAATGTGGGGTACCCTCTGAAACCTTCTAAACTTGATTTTTTAGTAAAGGATTTAATAAGAAATCGACCATCTCAGAACACTTTTTGTTTTGTGGTTTGGGCAGGCCCAAAAGTATCCACCAAGCTTCAAGAAGCCCTAAGCAAGGCAGCAGCATGAAGAGAAAGCTTTCAGAAGAAAGCAAGAGCCCATTTGAGCCAACGAGCCTTTTCAGGACACCTTTCAGAGAAAGCATGGCAAGCAGCATGAGCCCACAATATTCAACATCAGCAGCATCGGCTAGCACCAAAAAAACAGTTTACATTGTAATGAGCTCAGGCAGCAGTGGAGAAAGTGAGATAGCAGCCATCTGGGGGAGTGACCGGTTTAATGAGGGGGGGTTGTTTTGCATCATTTTTTTATTTGGGGGGTATTTTCTGAGTTGTGAATTGTTTAGTATTGGGGGGGGGGTCACCCGGAAGGGGTAATACGGGGTCAACATTACTACGCAACTGCGTCTGAAAAGTTTTGGCCAGGCCATGGTATACATGTTCACTGCAGAAGAGCTGCAGCTCTTGGACAGCGCTGCTGAGGAGGAGGACGAGGCGTGTCCAATCTGTTGCGCATTCAAGATGTCAATTTTGGGGATGATCGAAGAGTGAGAAGTGAGGGCACAAATGACAGCGGAAGGGCAGAGTCTAAGAATGGACGTAAATTTCCTTGGTTTATGAGGAGACGGCCCCATAAGAAGGGAACTTGTTTTGAAGGGCGACAGAAAGGTAGGACAGGATTTTTTAGACTTTAGCCTCATGCGAAGTAGGTCCACAGGCAACACTGGGTCGCATTTGGGGTTTCGGATGTCGCTTTCCGGGCCATGGTTTGCGAGGTTCTCGCGGCCCCAGACCTGCTCAACTTGGATGCGAAGGTCCAGGACACCCAGGACACGTGCGTTCAATGATGCGCAGGGGTGCAGGGGTGCGTGCATGGGGATCGGTGCCAACTTGGCAGAGTTGGTCTTGCAGTGAGTGATTAGCACAAGTAACCAAACGCATGTACAGTTGCAGTGCCAAACACAGTG